CAGGGCTGGGAGGGCAATGGCGGCTGAAAAAGGAGGATGGTGCCAGAAAAGCGGGCGGCGATAGCGAGGTTAAAACACTGTTGTTTTTAGGCTTTTTTGAAAAAAATTTCTCCACAAATGAATGATTTAAAAAGAGAATGATAGATTTGAGGTTTTTTCAGAGTTTTGGGACGGCCTCTAGAGGTTTTAGATGGAGAAGGAGGGAAAAAAACTGAGAAAGTCACCTAAAAAATAGAGGAAAGAGTTTTGCGATCGCGTTTATACAGTTGGCTTTTTACAACGATAAGATGTCATCGCAATTAATATCAAAATGATGTCATTCTTCTTCACCTCATTAATTTTTTGAGCATATTCTTGGGGAATATACCTGTATTCCTGATTTGCGATGACTTTTTAATGTAGTCGTCGCAAATATTTTTTGGGAAATCGCCTAAATTTTCTGCCCTTTTTTCGTGAGAAATTTAGTACGAATAATATTTGCGATGACAGTTCATACAAGTCATCACAAAAATTACTCTCAGATGGGAGGAATTTCTGGCTCTTTTTTGCGACGACAGTTTGCACATGTCATCGCAAAAAAATGAAGAATTTTCTGGAACTAGTGTTCGGAAAATCGCTAAATTTTCTGCTTTTTTTTTTGCCACATCATTACCAGCTATAACCTGACTATTAGTGATGACATGTAATCACAATTAATGGACAAATTTGAGCCAAACATATTAGCGCCAGATTACTTGTGGCGCCAAGAAATTTTGGCGATGACATGTCGTCGTAAATACTATTCCCGTGTTTAGTGACGACATGTCGTCGTAAATATTTAAATATTTGTGACAACAAGTCCTCGCAAATATAAATGCGAGGAAATGTCGTTCAAAATTTTTGTTTCCTTTATTGCGACGACATGTCGTCACAAATATCCTACTATTCGCAACGGCAATTGTCGTCGCCTACAATGTCGTCGCTAATAACCCTTTTTGTTGTAATGACGCTAATTGACATCCTCGGTAAAATGAAAGATGGCCTCAATGCACAGTTGGATCTGATAGAATTCAATATTAGAGGTGACTTCGCTCCTGAGAAAAGAGGCTCCTACACTTACTTACCTTCGGCTAAGTATACATTATCGAAACAAGAGAAGAAAGATTTTTATGAATGGCTTGTGATTACGCCCAAACATGTGCAAAAACAAGCAGTCAATTATAGTACAATTAGGATGGTCGATCCCATGAGGAGGCGATAAATTGAACAAGGAATGATTAGCAAATAAAAAGCGCTGGGAATATTAAGAAGTCAAATAAGGAAGAAAAATGAGTGTTTTTGATGATTTTTTGAACAATTTAAAATGAAGAAAATTCAATAATTAAAAGTGGTAAGACATTGAGAATCCTCTATATGCTTTGTTCACCTATTTGGATTTTGATTCATAAATTGACTCAATTGAAAGTTTCACATTCCAAACAATCAATCGGAAAATAAATATTTGAAGAACTTGTGAATAAAAATGTATTCGAGTAAATAAAATTCTTACGTTTAGAACTAGAAAAAATTATCTTATGAGAAATCTAAAAGCGACAATATACTGTTGGTAATATTGCAGTAAAAGACTACTCATAAAACAACCCCTACCAATATATAATATCATGCAACAATCACATAAAAAGAGCTTGACTAGATTTATATAAAAGTTGACAATAAAATATATTGATATGAGGAGCAAATATGATAAAAGAAAATTATTTACTCAAATGTATAAAACTTACAAACTATTAGAGAACCAAAACCCAAATAAGCTTACTATACATATAGGATCATTTCTAGCCTCACCCAAAAACTCTAGCGTAGCTTGCACATCATTCTCATAAAATTCTAAAAAGAAAGTATGAGAACAAAAGCAAGATAAAAATGAGAAAAAAAGTGTCTAAGTCTAAGCTAAAAAATTAACAACCTAATACACTAAACATAGCCCATATTTATAGAGTTTTTGGGCGATGCCAAAAATTACAATCAGCAACAAGAAGAAAAGGAGCATATTTCAATTAAATTAAAATTTACAATGCTTTATTTTGGGAGTAAAGGCTGATAATGGTAGAGAAAGAACCATAAGAAACGTTTGAAACTGCAAAAATGAGGAGTGCAACAGCTAGTACACGTGGCGCGCTGAGAAGAAAGAAACGTTACTTTGCTTGGGACACGTGGCGCGAGCTAAGAAGCGAAGAGAGGAAATGGCCAACAGCTTTGGACACGTGGTGAGCTGTGGAAGGAGAACAGCAGCACGCGGGACCCACGCATAAATTGGATGGAAAAACGCCTGACGCACACGTGAGAAGAACTTGCCCGGGGGAAAGGCTGTGCACGCCAAGCGCGCGTGCATGCAGGGACAGCTGGGTCCCACACGCTTGAGGCTTGCCAAAAAATGACACGTGGCATGGAGAAAGGAGCGGCTCGGCTTGGCTTGGCTTGGACGGCTGGCTGATGGGCTAATGGGCCTCTTTCTTCTTTTTTTCCTTTTAGTTTTGGCCCAAATGTCTTATTTCCCTAC